GAGCCGCACATGGCTCTTTTACTGCCCTGTTGTGGCTCCGCAGCAGAATCAGATTAGTAGGTAAAAATAAAATAATCCTCCTTTACAGTAAAATAAAACTCTGCTGATCGTTCAACACAGTTTAACAGTAAATGGTCTTAAACTCTGGAGTTCATGTAGAACTGCTAATTCACCCTTTAACCCTGAAGATCAGCACAGACTGCTGGTCACCATAGCAACACAGACAACAGTCTCGCCTAGCTAGTAGCTAACGAAACGGCAAAGAGAGAGATTTAAGACAAACATCGATAATTTGGAGATGAATGGACTTATTTGCATTTATAATCACTCCAGCTGGTTTCCTGATACGTTTAATCTGCAGTGAGAAACTGTCAAACAAGCTGAAGTCAGTTTCTCATTCGAACCGTTCTACCTTAAATAGTGCAGCAGTTACATTCTGGCGCCTCAGGCACCATTTAAGGTGGAACGGGTCAATTCGAACAAGATGATGTGAGAAAAGTGGTTACAGCTGAGCTAAAGGTTAAAGCAGAGTGAAGTAAGTCTGTGTTTTAGTCGTTATTAGCACATTAGCACATACTGAGACACTGAGTGTCTGTACACGCACTCAATAATCCAATAATCCAATAACTGCAGAAAATCAGATTTTGTCAGTAATCCGATCAACAAGTTACATGCACTTGAGTAATCAGATGATGGGGAAACTCCAGGTCTGTATGAGTCAGACAATAATTGGATTTCTGCTTTGCAACGAGCCAATAAACTCACAGAAGACGGCATGACGTAAACATAACGTAAAACTCAAACGTCATGTTGTGGCTTTTTTTAAAAAATGCACTACTTTACCTAAAAATATTAACCTACATCATCTAGAAAATGAAGAATATTTAAATCCTTTATTTCTTGTTTGGTTTCAGCATCACTCCAACAGTGTTTTGCTGCGTCTCGCGACATCCACCGTCTGATCTCGCGCATGCGCAGACTGAGAAATCCGAAAGAAATCAGAGTAAGAGTTCACATGCACTGAGAAATCTAGATCCAGCCTCTAGATCGGAGTATGGTGTTTACATGGCCATTTAAACAATCGAATAACTGCAGAAATCGGATTATGATCAGATTATTGAGTGCATGTATACATACTCATATTTACAGCCAACATGGTAAAATGGACATATGTTGTGGCTCGCAAGGTGGTTTGATTTGGGTTGCCGACCCCTGGACTAGGCTATTTCACTGCAGTACAGGTTCTGTTCAGCTTGGGAAAATTGAGTATACACAGGAAAATGAATGGTCATTTGGGTTTTTTTAGTCCAACACATATTTTGGAAGGGACTTAAGGTGAAAGAAGGGGAAGCCAAGTAGTCCATTTCATTCTGAAGTGGACCAGATCAATAAGTTTCAAGCTGTCATTATAAATATCCTTTTTATGAGACAGTTCTTTACCCTTTACTCCCTTGCAGAGCTGGCTGAAGGGAACAAATCGCTTGCTATTAATCTGATTCTCAGCTCGGCCTGGAAAATAGTTTAATATTAATGATTCCGAGCAGGAGAACGATTCTCGTCTGGCCTTTCTCTCAGACTTTTTAGCCGATGCTAATTGAAAAAGCCAATTTACAGACAAATATATGAGCTGCTCTTCGAGTTGCTTTCATTCCTCACTGATTATTACAGAGACGGAATCCTGAGGCTGAGACAGGCCGTCAAGAACACTACATTGATTTGGGCTGTTGTAGCTGACTTTGTCTTATACTGATCATTCCGTCTGAATAAGCATGTCGGAATCGATGCTGGTGTTGCTGTAGACGTTTGGTGGGCATATATGTGTGTGCGCATTGCTTGATTTTATAGCTGAATTTTAAAGGCTCATGACACATTCTGAGCCTCATTACTTAATGCGCACAGAGGACGGACATGTCACAGACAGCTGTCTGCTCAGTATTCACTGCTGAGGAGTTCTTAGCACAGACTTAATGCAGACACTTTGGAGAAGAAACTGAATTACTAGCAGTTTCTGTTGGTGAGAATGGCTACGGAAATGTAAATATTGAGACAAAATTATGTATTATATACAAAAAAACTGGGGCAGTATGTGAGATATTTAATGTTTTACCTTTTAAACGTTATTGTTTTTTGTAAATATACGCTCATCCTGAAACTGATGCCTGTAACACCCTTCAAAATATGTGCATTTTAGATGAGGAACTTTGTGAAATGTTCAAAAAAGCCCTTGAACACGCGACGCAGTCGTCCTTGGGTAATAATCCAGCATTTTAAAAACAATGGGCCTCATTCACCAACATCTTCCTAATTTCTTTCTTAAATTTGTCCTTGAGAAATATCCTAAGAAAAAGGCATGACGTGTTCCAAAACCGCAGAATTGTTCACACATTCGTGTAAACAACTTAGAATCTTCATGCGTAAGTGGGTTTTACGAAGAAATTCCTTCCTAAGAACGTTGGTGAATAAGGCCTCAGTAAGGTATTTTTAGGTACCTCAGCCTCTACGGTACATAACATCGTCAGAAGATTCGGGATTCAATCCAGAGAACTCTGTGTGCATAAAGGGAAAGGCCAAAAACCACAACAGAAAATCCTCAGATGGCACTGCATTAAAAAGCCAGCATGCTTCTGTGACAGACATCACCACGTGGTCTCAGGAGCACTTCTGTTTATTGCTGCATCCACAAAAGCAAGACTGTACAATGCACAGCAGAAGCCAAACGACAACAACGCCCAGAAAGAAAAACTGTTTCATGTTGCGGACTGGCCTTAGCTATATTTGGAGTTTTCCATAGACAACTAGCTATCAGGAGAGTTAAGTAGGTAGTATTGTTTAGCTTTGGTGTTATTTAGTTCGTTATGGTGGCGGAGGAGCATCTGCAGGCCGCAAAATACCCTGCTAGAAGAACTAGCACCGGCCAGCATGGCTGTTCACTAGCAAAACCAGCATGTGGATGCTGTGGGAACAAAACCTTGTATCTCCATTTTTGGCATTTTTCAGTTTTTGACATAATTTGAACGTTTCAGATGAACAGACCAAAAGAAATGGCCCGAAATGACTTGGGTAAAAGTCTGGTTTCATTGACTTACATTAAAAGTAATCTAAGTTTGTTCCGACGATATGTTATGTTTTAGACGCTGGTATGCTGGTCAAACAGTATGACCATGCTGGGTGACCAGCCAGACTGTTTTTTTCAGATTTGCCACTATTTTACCACTACCAACATCACACACACACACACACACACACACACACACCCACACACACTATCTAAGCTGCTTATCCTCCTGGGTCGTGTGGGGTGCTAAAGCCTATCTCATCGGTCACTGGGCAGAAGGCAGAAAACACCCTGGACAGGTTGCCAGTCCATCACAGAACATGGGTAGCAGTTCACTGGTCATTTAGAATAACAAATAAAATATCTATATTTCTGCTGTAGACATAGTGACCCCTGGTTCCTATCAGCACCACTGTAAAGAGATCAGAGTTTTAAGTTTCTCTTCAATGAATAATTTCACATCAAACCAGACTGAATGACTTTGTTTACATCTCAACGATCGAATTATGCAGAAATGTGGAATAATCCTTCTTTAATAGTCTTTAAATAGCAATTTCCCTTCCCTCTGAGAATTATAACGTTAACCTAAGCACAATGTTTAATCACAGTAGTTTACTGGGGGAGTTAAGTGCTTTAAGACCAGGTAGCCTGTCTTAAACCTCGTATCCCCATTTTTCTCAGTTTTGACACAGTCTGAAAATGCCTGTTGGTTCTGTACATTGTGTGTAAATTTCAGGAGGAACGGACAAAAAGAAACGGCCTGAAATGACTTGGAAAAAATCTGGTTCCATTGATTTACATTTACATTCAAAGTAATGTATGTTTTTCCTTCTCCTGTAAAGTTATCAGTTTGGAGGTACAAAGATTCTGTTCCAACAGCAGCAATATGTTGTATTTTGGATGCTGGTATGCTGGTCAACCAGTATGACCATGCTTTTTTTTTTAGATTTACCAATATTTTACCACTACCAGCATTACACATAAAAAAGAACATGGGTAGTGGTTCACTGGTCATTTAGAATAACAAATAAAATGTCTATACAGTGAATAATTTCACATCAAACCAGTCTGAATGACTTTGTTTACGTCTCAACGATCTAGTTATGCAGAAATGTGGAATATTTTTCTTTAATAGTCTTTAAATAGCAATTTTTTCTTTACCTCTGAATTATAACGTTATAAGCACAATGTTTAATCACAGTAGTTTATGATTTAAGTGCTTTAAGACCAGCTAGGCTGCTTAATCCTTTTTTTTTGGGGGGCGGAACCACGAGACCATGGGAGAAGCCACAAATACAAACGCATCTAAAAATACTCTCTCTCTCTTTCTCTCTCTCTCTCTCTCTCTCTCTGTGTGTGTCAATATTGAGCGTCCGCGACCTGAGGAATCCTGCGAGGCTGGTCACGTGGGGACATTTCCAATTGCGCTTGTAAAGGGGGGAGGAGGAAGATGAGGAGGAGGAAGGTGATGGTTTGGGTGGGGGGGTGGTGGGGGGTGTGACACTTCTGACATATAAGGCGCGCTCCAAGGACGAAACCCCCACAAGCGCATAAGCAGCGCGTGCAAGCTGGAGCCGGGGCGAGCTCGCGCACTGCGCAATTGCGCGAGGCTGAACGGAGACGGAGGAGCTCGAGGTGGACAAGAGGCGTCGTCGGACCGGACCAGAACGTAACGTAAGGCGCGCGCGTGCGAGGGTTTCGCGGGACTCGGGACACACCTGCATGGATTTTCCCGCCGCGGGCAGGACTAGCGGGAGCCGGGCGGCATGGAGAGCAGCGGATCGCGCGAGCCTGGACACGGCGCCTCGGAGGCAAGAGGGACTCGCGTGCAGCACCGGCGCGAGGGCTTCGCGATGGAGCAGCGTGTGAAAAAAGTGGCTTAGCATGTCCAGAAGTGCGGAGATCTGAGCGGACGACCCCACTCCCCACGCTCCTCCACGAAACCATGCACGCGGCGGACGTCGCGCTCTCCGTGCTGCTCGCGGCCATCATCGTGGTGTCGCTGCTGGCCAACGTGCTGGTGCTCGTGTGCTTCGTGTACAACGCCGAGATCCGGCGGCAAGTGCCCGGTCTGTTCGTGCTCAACCTCACATGCTGCAACCTGCTGCTGGCCTCGTCCAACATGCCGCTGACCGTGGCCGGGCTGCTGGGCCACGCGCCCCCGCCGGGCGGACACGTCCTGTGCCAGCTCGCCGCCTTCCTGGACACGTTCCTAACCTCCAACTCCATGCTGAGCATGGCGGCGCTCAGCATCGACCGCTGGGTGGCCGTCGTTTTCCCGCTCAGCTACCACTCGCGCATGCGCCGGCGAGACGCCGTGCTCGCGCTCGCCTACGCGTGGCTCCACTCGCTGGGCTTCGCCGTGGCGCCCGCGTGCCTCTCGTGGCTCGACTACCACCGGCCGACGGCCTCGTGCACGCTGTACAACCCGCGGGCGCGCGCCAGCGACGGTGCCGCCTCCTCGCGCGCGCACTTCGCCGCCTACACCGTGGCGCTGCACGCGCTCACCTTCCTGCTCGTGCTCGTGGTGCTGTGCGTCACGTACCTCAAGGTGCTGCAAGTGGCGCGTTTTCACTGCAAGCGCATCGACGTCATCACCATGCAGACGCTCGTGCTGCTCGTGGACATCCACCCCAGGTAAGGCTGGACTAGGGCTCGTGGGAGGACGTTACGGTGGGTTCAGGTGAAGTGGAACGTTTGCACTTGCTAAAAGACCCTCTTTGGTGTGTTAGCGTAAAGGGGTAGTCCACCAATGTTTCAAAATTTCGGAATAATTTAGTCCTTGAGATGTAAACAAAGTGGTTTGATGTGAAGCGGTTCATTGTAGAGAAACTTACTGACTGGTGTCTTTACAGTGGTGCTGATAGGAACCAGGTGTCACCATGTCTACAGTGTTAGTTACTATCCAGAACTAACACTGAACCTACACAAGTCTTCTGAGTTAATATGGAATGTTGATGATGGAAAAATACTCATAAATCTGAAAAAATAAAGTTTTCTTTGGGGACTGTTTTGCCTCACCAACACCTTGCATGTACATCTCTGCCATGAATTGATCAAAATACACTTCAAGCCAATCTATGTCAAATATCAAACCGTTCCATTTAATAACTTTCTTTGAGGGAGCTGTTAGAGGCGGACGTTCGGTTCCTATCACCGCCACTGTGAACGGTTCTGACTCTGCAAGTTTCTCTAGAACAGAGCGTTTCACACCAAACCACTCCGAATGACTTTGTTTACATCACATCCATTTAATTAGGTAGAATTTTTGGAAAATCGGTGGAGTTCCCCTTTAAGTTGGGCAGCTGGAGAGATTATGAAAAGCTTAAAGATATCATTCAAGTACAGGTAATGACATAACGATTATTTGCTTACTGTGCCATAATACATAAACTCTGCTTTTGTGACATAATTTGTTTACAATTTAACCCTGCCCTCAAATATGACATCACAATATGCAATGTATATGAATTCATATTCAGCACATATACTGTACGTTGTATAAAATGACAGAAATTACTAGTTGCATTACTAGTAACAGACTTCAGAGTCACCTAGACCACAAAATTACAGCAGTGTGGCTGAATTCTGCTGTACGCTTACAGTAATGAGCTGTAATTACAGTGAACACACACTCTAATACACACTTCACTCGCATCACAATAGGCAAAATCATTTGTTCATTAGCACACATACAGCAACACTACTTGAACCAGCTCTATGGTTTTAGTAGATGCAGGAATAGAACTTAGGCTTGTCTCAGAAAGTGAGAAGGGTCTGGCTGCAGACATGCCCTCTCAGCCTGACCTGCACTGCCAGACTACTGATGATATCAGTGCCGCTCTGCCGCGACAGTGTTTTTGTCGGTTTTTACGAGGAAAAACAGCAAAACATGAACTGCTGGGCAACAAGAGCTACACTGAACACATATTAACGCTGTCGTACTGACAATAAGGTAATTAAATATGGAAACTTTCACAGTAAAACCACAACGATAATACGTTTATTCGCAGAAAAAACAAAAAGGCTGCTGAAACTCATGAAAGCCAGGCTGATGATCAGAACCGGTTATCAAAAAACTGTAATATTTATTAAAACAGAACTTTAAGGATTCTAGGAGGTTGTGACGACGTACAGCCAACGTGGTACCGATTACTTCTGCTGTCTCATCATAACCTCCTAGAAAGTTGTCAGACAACGTTGTTATAACATTCTGAGGAATAACATTTCAACGTTGTGACAATGTAGAGACCACCAAGCAGACGACGCTGTGGGCACCAAAAGAGTCACAACGTCACAACGTAACTGTGTTTGCAGGGCCGTTAGGAATAAAACCTGATGGTTTAGCTTCCTAACGGGAATTGGCTTGATGGTTGCCAGTAGAGGCCATTAGAAAACGATCAAATGTATCTGGAATCAGTCCCAGAAGACCTGATTAAATGATCAGAATCCTTTACACTGTGATACCAACCCATCAGGAACACACAGGATACCATTAGCGACTACTAGACACCACCAGGAACCAGCAGACACTTTTAATGGGTTCTATGAATTTTTTCACCAGGAAGGTGCATTAAATGTAACTTTCTAACCGTGTTATGGACAAAAATGGATGAAGTGATGATAGAAACAGCCAAAGTTGGGCTGCTTCTGCCATTGTGGCAGAGAGTGCATGTGCACGTGACGTCACTGGGACTGAGAGCGCATGTCTGCATCCAGACTCTATTGCAGATAGTGGTAGCCTTAAGCCCAAAGTCCAGTCTGTACAAAAGAACAGAGCCAAGGAACTCTCCTATTGGGAAGCCCTCACTTTGGGCTTAATGGGTCCAGCTTACTGAAGAAACTACTCTGTGTATAACATTATGACCACCTCCTTGTTTCAACGCTCATCGTCCATTTTATCAGCTCCACTTACCATATAGGTGCACTTTGTAGTTCTACAGTTACAGACTGTAGTCCATCTGTTTCTCTGTATACTTTGTTAGCCCCCTTTTACCCTGTTCTTCAGTGGTCAGGACCCCCATGGACCCAGAGCAGGTACTATTTGGGTGGTGGATCATTCTCAGCATTGCAGTAACACTGACGTGGTGGTGGTGTGTTAGTGTGTGTTGCGCTGGTCTGAGTGGATCAGACACAGCAGTGCTGCTGGAGTTTTTAAACACCTCAGCGTCACTGCTGGACTGAGAATAGTCCACCAACCAAAAATATCTAGTCAACAACGTCCTGTGGGCAGCGTCCTGTGACTGCTGATGAAGGACTAGAGGGTGATTAGCTCATACTGTACAGCAAGAGATCAGCTATCGTCTCTGGTTGTACATCTACAGGGTGGACCAACAACACAGGTGCGTCTAATAGAGTGGACAGTGAGTGGACACAGTGTTTAAAAACTCCAGCAGCACTGCTGTGTCTGATCCACTCGTACCAGCACAACAGAGAACCATTATTTTGAGAGTGTATTATATTTATTAACTCCTTAAAATCCCAGGCTTATTATTCAGTAACTACGGGACGTCAATGCAAACTGGCTGAGCTATTCTGAGGTTATAGAAGTGTGTAATAAAACTGTGGGCCCGTCGGTGGTCCCTGGCCATTTAAGGGGTTAATATTCATATTTATAATGGCCTGATAGATTTCAGGAGTGAAAACAACAGAGTTCGGGCTGCCTTTAAAGTGTGGTTAGCGGGACATTCTAGGGGCACCAAAGAGACAGGGGCCCACAAAGACTGTACCATTTTTTTCCTTTTTTTTCATTTTGTTCAGATTTTCAATTGAAACATTCATTAAATAAGAATTAAAGACTAGTCTTACATAAAGTGCCAACAGTGTTTCATCCTGCATTCTGCCCCCCTCCCCCCCGCCCCACCCCTCTAGATAGTACTGGGCTTTGAGTAACGTTTCTATGCATTATTAGTCCAAAACAGTTCATTGAGTTTTGCTTCGATAGCCAAGATGCACCTCTTTTGAGAATCAAGAATTTCAGCCACTTGCAAACAGCACATTGATTATGCAGCTATATTGCTTATATTCAGGCCCAAGAGTAGGAATTGTGGAGCTATTACAGAAAAAGAAGCAAGGTTTGGAACATTTTGTCATGTTTTAATGCTGAGACAGGTTAAGGGAAATAAGGTGAGGTGAGGACCCCGTGCATGAGATTTTCAAGGGGCCCAAAATTCCTACACGTGTGTTTGGCACATTCCAGCTACATACACATCTGCCATAGGTACACAGCAACCCTACTGAAAGTTAACCCTCTTCAGTTGCCTAATTTATTTATTATATCACATATATTTGGTCAGTGAGGTAAATACAGCTAATTCCATGCTTAGATAGCGTACTGTGTGTATTTATAGCTTTGTTACGCATGTCATGTCAGGGTGTTTTCAAATTTAGATGAACTTAATTAATATCTAGTAATAAAAGAAGACATCTGGCTTTCTAACTGGAGCCAGTGAGAGAGAGAGAGCGAGAATAATTATACCAGCTGCTCCGATGGGAAGTCGTGTTGATAATGGCCTGATTCTCTTTGGATGGGAAGCTTGGGGTTTAAAGCTGTTCTGCCTGTTAAGCCGCAAAGGGGCACTTTGTCAGTCCAGTCTAACACACTGACGAGTGTGGTCAGCATTCTGTGGTAGATTCTCAACAAGAAGAAAACCAGATTTTCTTACCATTCTTTATGCATCTTTATAAACGTATGCTGTATTTCAGCTTTATTCAGAGTAGTTTTTAGCCCTGCGGAAACTGATCACGATGAAACTGACCAACTGAATGATCCTGTCACAGTCCCAACACGTCTGATTTGACCAGTGGTGAAACGTTACTATTAGAGCTAACGATTAGAGCCAGTGTTCGACAACCCAAATGTTCTTGGCTGTAAATGTGTCTCAGTATGTGTTAATGTACTAAACGAAAACACAGACTTACTTTGCTCTGCTTTAAGTTTTAGCTCAGCTGTAGCCGCTTTTCTCGCATCTCTGGCAGGAAACTTTTCTGCAAAAGCGTAACAGTTTCTTGTAAAATGTCTCTTAACGTTCGATTTTTTACAAGGCTAAAGTCGCTTTTCATTCGCCAGCTTCTTGTTCAAATTTTCTTGTTCCACCTTAAATGGTGCCTGAGGCGCCAGAATGTAACTGCTGCACTATTTAAGGTGGAACAGGACAGTTCGAACGAGAAACTGACTTCAGCTTTGCGACCTTTTAGTGTTTGACAGTTTCTTGTTGGAGATTAAACGTATCAGGAAACCAGCTGGAGTGATTATGAATGCAAATAAGTCCATTCGTCTCCAAATGATTGATGTTTGTTTTAAATCTCTCTCTTTGCCGTTGCGTTAGCTACTAGCTAGGTGAGATTGTTGCCTGTGTTGCTATGGTGACCAGCAGTCTGCACTGATCTTCAGGGTTAAAGGGTGGATTAGCAGTTCTACATGAACTCCAGAGTTTAAGACCATTTATTGTTAAACTGTGTTGAACGATCAGCAGAGCTTTATTTTACTGTAAAGGAGGATTATTTTATTTTTACCTACTAATCTGATTCTGCTGTGGAGCCACAACAGGGCAATAAAAGAGCCGCAAGTGGCTCCAGAGCCCTGGGCTAGGCCTTCAGCATGGGCCATAAATGTCAAAATTTGGTAAAAATGTCAG